GCTTCCTACTGTATAGAGAACACAGTAAAAAAGTTTAAGAGTAGAGAGTGTCTCAGTTTTTACCCATTTATTGTAATTTATTTCTGAGATGTATATATGACATACAAGAAACATTTTATTCTGTAGCAGGGTTTGTGTACCACAGCACTATTGACATTTGTGCTGGACAATCTTTTGTTGTTGCTGGTGATGATGGTTTTGTTGGTAGCAGTGAATAGGATGTTTAGTAGTATCACTGGTCTCCGCCCGCTAGATGCCAGTAGCATTTCCTGCCCCGAGTCCCAACAATCAAATACGTCTTCTAACATTGCCACATGTCCCCTGAGGGGTAAAATTACTCCCATTTGAGAACCACTGAACTATGGCGATAACAATTTCTGACACTTATTGAGTGCTTACTCTGTACCAGTTTCTCTTCTAAGGGTGTTGCATTTATTGACACATTTTCTTTACCAACATCCCTAAAAACTGTGCATTTTCTTTGTTTCCCCAAGGAGGAAACTGAAGTCCAAATATTTTAACAATATTTTGCAAGATCCCGTAACTTGTTAGTAGATAACAGAGCCAAGATTTATACCCAGACAGGCCATAGCGTATGTTCTTAGCCACCACATTTTCCTGCCTTTTGCCTCTTTACTTAACACATGACCAGGGTTGCATAGGTCGTGTTCCAATTAGAGGGATATGCCGAGATCTTCTGAGTTCCACAGCGATGTATCTTCAAACTTATTCATCCTTTAAAGTTACACAAAGTTAGGATTCATATTTTTAAAACGTACTTGAGAATCGAGCTTTAAAACCCAGTATTAATGTGACTCATGGGTTACACCTTAATAACACTTCAAGAGCTCACAGAGACCAATGTGATTATGGGACACATTATTCCAGTTTTTTAAACAGAGAGGCAGTATACTTATGTTTTACAGCTGCCTTGAGTTACATATAAAAACCAGCTCCTGGCCCTTTAATTACAGACAAAGGAAGAACCACTACAACAGCCTCATGAATAAAGCAGTGCCATCCACATCTGAAAACGAGCCTCTGTAGCCACCAGATTCAATGTAAAGCCTTCCTTTTGAATGCACTCTCTCTCAGATTAGTGCTTAAGGTTTTTTTTTTTTCTTTTGCTAAGAAAATATTCTCTGGAGTGCATGATATAGTTTGGAGTGCATAATATAGTTTGTATATGTGTTCCCACCCAAATTTCATGTCAAATTGTAATCCCCAACATCAGAGGTGGGGCTTGGCAGGAGGTGATTGGATCATGGGGGTGGATTTTTCATGAATGGTTTAGTGTCATCCCTTTTTGTATTGTCCTTGCCATAGTTAGTGAGTTTTCTTGTGATCTGGTTATTTAAAAGTGTGTATCACTTCCCCCATTGCTCTCTCACTTGCTCTTGTTCTGGCCATGTGACCGTCTGCTCCCTCTTTACCTTCCACCATGATTGTAAGTTTCCTGAGGCCTCCCTGGAAGCTCAGCAGATGCCAGCATCATGTTTTCTGTACATCCTGTGAAACCATGAGCCAATTAAAACTCTTTTCTTCATACATTACCCAGTTTCAGGTATTTCTTTTCTTTCTTTTTTGAGACAAACTGTCACTCTGTTGCCAGGCTAGAGTGCAGTGGCATGATCTCAGCTCACGGCAACCTCTGCCTCCTGGGTTCAAGTGATTCTCCTGCCTCAGCCTCCCAAACAGCGGGGACTACAGGCGTGCGCCACCATGCTGCCTGGCTAATTTTTGTATTTTTAGTAGAGACGGGGTTTCACCATGTTAGTCAGGATGGTCTCAATCTCTTGACCTCATGATTCACCTTCTTCAGCCTCCCAAAGGGCTGGGATTCCAGGCATGAGCCACCATACCCGGCCCAGGTATTTCTTTATAGAAATGCAAGAATTGACTAATACAGTGCGAGAGAAACAAATATTAAAAGCTCTGCATGAAATAAGCAGTATAAATAGAATAATCATGAACAGATATCACTGAAATCTGCTCTCATATTTGCTACAAACTCACTTTTTATGAGAAAGCTAGTTATATATTTCACTTACCAGGCCTCGGTTGTCCTGTGTTTTCCTGAGAGCTGCAACGCTGCCTCTATAATTATTTTCTTCCTGTGCGCTGGTCTTCTCTATGCAGACAAATTGTGTTTGAAAAGTTGGTAAATTAGTTGCTTAGAACTGAAAGGCATACTAAAATAGAAATGTTACTATAAATGATGTTTAGATTCCCTGACCAGCCACTAAATGCTTCAAAGAAAAAAAAAATAGAAAAGGGGAGGAAGAGTAAGCATGTCCTAAGTTATTGGCATTATTTGTTCTAGTAAGTATGCATGTGTAAATGTGCAAATATACATAGTTACATACGTGTGTATATATATTCCACACACGTGCACATTACATATATTCTTATTGAGATGAGATCCTGTAATTAAAAATTATTGAATGCGTGTGAAAAATGCCATTTTAAAGTTCTGGTTTTTGTGGTTTTTATGGTTGATAGCATTTCTGGTTTTTCTCCTGGCTGAGGAAGTTGAAATTTATCATTGAGGAAATATGCATCTTTGTTTTTGGAAAAGACACTTTAAAGACTTTTTTGAATATCCCATGGTAAGGAAATATTTTTATTCAGAAGAGAAAGATTGAAAGCAATATGGAGTTCAACTTTTCTCGTAATTACAGTAACTCTGCCAACTGTTTCTTTTAATAATTTTTTTTTTCAGTAGGATTAAGGAAATGGAAGTTAGTCGCCTATGAGAATAGACAAGCTCAGGGATACCTTTTCTCTCAATGCTCAGGTGAACATTTTGGTGGTGACTAGGAGATTAGGAGAGAATCTGTCTAAGGGTTGGCCCCCTTTGATCAACATCATCAAAATCACTTAAGAACTTGTTAGAATGGTGGAATATCAAGCTTTATTCCAAGAATCAGCATTTTCACAAGATGTCAAAGGACATGTATGCTTAGTAACATTTAGAAGGAACTGACACAAAGCATTTTCTATATAGTAGAGACTGGCCTGTGGAGTTCAACAATAGTCACATCTAGAATCCATTCTTTTTTTTTTTTTTTTTTTTTTTGGAGGATTGGAGTTTCATTTTATTGCACAAAACTTGTTTGCCTAAACTACTCTTCATTTAATGCCCGTTACTAAGCAAAGTTCCTTGTCTCTGTCTTATGCTCAGTCAACCTCTTCTCTTTCATATTAAAGAGCAGAGTAATCTGACAATATGATAAAGCATTTGATTTATGAAATCTTCACCCACCAACTTTTAAGAATGAAAGAAAACAATTCTTCCCTCTCCCAAAAATGACACCTTTTAAGCTTTCCTCCCAACCTGAGCTCCATGGGATCTCAGAAATTCCAATTCTTCTAACTCAAATCCCCACGGTAGTGCAGCTGCATTAACTCCCAGGGGAGAGCAGTCTGAGGCAGGCAGGTTCATTAAACAAATGTGTGCAGTGCCCTCTGGCAGAGAGGGCAGCAGGATGTGCACTGCCCTTTAGCCAAGCTGTAGCATAGGCAAGGACGTCAGGTGACTGACAACGATTTGTTCATCTCAGCTGGGGTGGAGGGGCCAGCTCAGCCTTGAAACAGCAGCTTGGGAGGTGTCTTAGCTGAAGATTAACGTCTCCACATCTCCAGCTTGGGAGGTAGAGTTGGATGAAGGAGTGAATGCTTTCTTGCCTTCAGCGAGAACTTTAAAATGCTGTGAGCTCTTGAGTTCTGAGTACAGGGAAAAGAGCAGGTGGAGGGACTGGATCCAACTCTTGTAGACAGGGATGTCTAGAATGGCACAGATCATGTCAATGTACTCTGCCAGGCTGCAGTCAGTCCATGCTGTTGGCAGGCTTACGTGTAATACCAGCACTGTGGGAGGTTGAGGTGGGCAGATTGCCTGAGCCCAGGAGTTTGAGACCAGCCTGGGCAACATGGTGAAATTCCATCTCTTGCTCAGAAGTTCTTCAAACTCCAGGGACCATTCCTGCATCAGCATGACAATGTTGGGCATGGGTCTGGTGTAGTGCACAGTCGCAGGGGGCTTAGAACGGTGTAACTCAGAGATACTGTCAAACCATGTGTCAATGGCTTTGGGATTCTTTTCTGAATCTTCCAGGCTCTTTACTTTCATGTGTTTTGTGATGTTGTGCTGCTTAGAATTCTCTGTTAACCAGAGTGAGGGCACTGTAGGGTCTGACTGCTTTGTGGAAGGTTTATCCAATACCAACAGGCCAAGGTTGTCAGGCTGTCCATCAGGACGTGGGACCTTTAAGACTGCCTCAATATCCCCAACAGCTGGGATAAAATCAGGAATGAAAGTCTTCAGTTTGTGGTCCAGGTCAATCAACTGAGGTGTGTACCTACTGATGTCCTGGAAGAGTTCCTTGATCTCAGCAGAAACTGGCAAATGCTCATAATCTGCAGGGTTATGGAACCATTTCCAGAGGGGCTCCATGCTCTTCATCATCATCATCAGAATCAGAATCAGTTTCAGATGAATACTCATCATCATCATCATCATCATCATCATCATTTTCACTAAAGCCCCATTGAGGTGTCAGCTGTGAGGTTTTCTTCTTCTCCTTTCTATGCTTCTTGCTCTCTCTGTACCATCCCATCCTCTCAAGTCCATAAGAAGGGGTCTGGTGGCATTTGGAACTTGGAGGGGCAGGTGGAACAGGGCCCATGTCTTTGCCTCTGTATCCTGGAGGCTGTGGCATGCCCTCTCTTAGGACCTTGTTATTTTTCTCTTCATACTCATCACTGCTGTTATCAACCATAGCCTTGTTAGGAAGATGGGCAGAACAAGGAAGTCCTTGGCATCTTGGGGTTGGAGTATAAATATTTGCAACCTCTTCGGAGTCATTAACCGCTGGACCCTCATCATATGTCTGGTTTTCAACAACCTTGGTCTGTAGACCCTCTGAATCCATCTCCTCTATAATGGAAAGAACCCCAGCCTAGGGCTGGGGTATCACTCCAGTGTCAAGGCCAGGCCACTTTAGGGATTCCACGCAGAGCAACCGTGACATTTCTATTCTTTTTTTTTTTTTTTTTTTTTTTTTTTGAGACGGAGTTTCGCTCTTGTTACCCAGGCTGGAGTGCAATGGCGCGATCTCGGCTCACCGCAACCTCCGCCTCCTGAGTCGGAGTTTCGCTCTTGTTACCCAGGCTGGAGTGCAATGGCGCGATCTCGGCTCACCGCAACCTCCGCCTCCTGGGTTCAGGCAATTCTCCTGCCCTCAGCCTCCTGAGTAGCTGGGATTACAGGCACGCGCCACCATGCCCAGCTAATGTTTTTGTATTTTTAGTAGAGACGGGGTTTCACCATGTTGACCAGGATGGTCTCGATCTCTTGACCTCGTGATCCACCCACCTCGGCCTCCCAAAGTGCTGGGATTACAGGCTTGAGCCACCGCACCCGGCCGACATTTCTATTCTTAAAAGGAGAAGTACGTAAGATGTAAAGGATGACTGGTCCCAAGTCAGCCCAAAATTCAACAGAGAAAACAATGTTAAGTCTTAAGGCTGGAGATTCATCTCCTTCGACTCTGTTTCCTTGGTGCCGGGCACACTGGGTTGGCAGTTGTATCCCCAAGGTCTCAAGCAGCCCCTCCCCTATGGCTTTGATGGGTTCAGTCCATTGAATAGCTCTCAAAGGTTGGAGTCTCATCCCTGCAGCCTTCCCAGGCTGGAGTTGCACCCTGCTGGTCCTACTTCTGGAGTCTCAAGAGCTGCTCCGTTCCTATGATCCTCCAGGCTTTGTCCTAGTGGAGGTTTTTCTGTGGTGGCACTGCTCCTGCAACAAGTCCCTGCCTGAGTCTCTGGGCTGTCCCATACATACTTTTGAAGATTAGTCTGAGGTTTCCATGGCCCCACAGCTTGTGCACTCCAAATGTCTGCAAGGTCAGCACCATGTGGATGCCAATGACATGGATGTCACCAAGGGTTATCACTTTTACCCTCCAGAGCTGTGGCAGGAGCCACATCTGGGCCTGTTTGAGCAATAGCTAGGGCAGCTGAGGAGCACTGTGCTGGCATGTGGGGAGCAGAGCTACAAAGAAGCCCTGGGCAGTGAATGCTGAGGTCTAGTGAGCACTTCTCTGACTATCTTGCCCTTAGGGTCTTAGGCTGCCTTGAAGACCTCTGAAATTCCTTTAGGTTTATTTTCTCATAGTCTTCATGAATAGAGTCTGGCTTCATTCTATTCATATTAATCCCTTTAGTAAAGTGTCTCTTGGCAACACCCTTAATATTCTTTCCTGAGCACACTTTTTAAGTTTTTTCACGGGCAAGCTAACCGTTTTCCAAATATTTCTATTTTGTATTCCTTTTAATTATAAACTCTATCTCTAAATCATTTGTGTTTTATATCTTTTTAATGTAAGTGCCCAAAACAATCCATGTTGTACCTTGAATGCTTTGCTGCTTAGATATTTCTAATGCGAGGTATCCTGGTTCATTGCTCTTAAGTTCTGCCTTCTACAAAGTCGTAGGACTTGAAAACACTTCCACCAAGTTATTTTCAAGCGTGTAACAAAAATGGCCTTACTCTCTTTTCCAATATCTTCTTCCTCATTTCCATCTGAGGCCTCATCAGAATGGCCTTTACCATCTATATTTCTACCAATATTTGATCATGAACACTTCGGTATTCTCTAAGAAGGTTTGGGCTCTCTCTCTCTATCTCTTTCCTTCTGAGCCCTCACCAGAATTTCCCTTAATACCCCATTCATAGTAATACAGAGTTTTTCAAATTCTTACAGCTTCAACCCATTAGCTAGTTCCAAATCTACTTCCATATTTCTAGGTATTTGTTATAGCAAGAGCCCCAATTTTTGGTGCCAATTATTTGTATTTGTCTGTTTTATGCTGCTGTAACAGAATACCAAAGAATGGTAATTTATAAAGAATAGAAATGTATATCTCATAGTTCTTGAGGAAGTCAAAGGCTGAGGAGCCCACATCTGGAGACACCTTCGTGCTGTGTCATTTTATGGCAGAAGGTGGAAGGGCAAGAAAGCGTGTGTGTGTGTGTGTGTGTGTGTGAGAGAGAGAGAGAGAGAGAGAGAGAGAGAGAGAGAGAGAGAAAGAGAGACCGACCCACCTGAACTCATCTTTTTATCAGGAACCTACTCCCGTGATAACTAACCCACTCCTGTAATAAAGGCATTAATCCACTCATGAGGGCAGAGCCCTAATTATCTCTTTTATTTTTTCCTGAGATGAAGTTTTGCAATTGTTGCCCAGGCTAGAGTACAATGGTGTTATCTTGGCTCACTGCAACTTCCATCTCCTGGATTCAAGCAATTCTCCTGCCTCAGCCTCCCGAGTAGCTGAGATTACAGGCTTGTACTACCATGTCTGGCTAATTTTTGTATTTTTAGTTGAGATGGGGTTTCTCCATGTTGGTCAGGCTGGTCTCAAACTCCGAACCTCATGTGATCCACCTGCCTCTGCTTCTCAAAGTGCTGGGATTACAGGCATGAGCCACCATGCCCAACCAGCCCCTAATTACCTCTTAAAGCTCCCACCTCTCCACACCATTGCATTAGGATGGATTTTTTCAACATACGAACTTTGGGGGACATATTCAAACGATAACACTATGTTTGCAAATTTTCTGTGTTTTCTTATTTCTCAGATCTTCAACTCCATGAGGAATTAAGAGGAAGGCCTCACCCATGCTTGAAAAATAACTGCTTCTAGTGAGTATTGTTGGTTCTTATCCAAACATTTTCACTTCCTAAGAAGTCTGAGATTCACCTTTGCTCACACCTTCTCAACCCAACCAGCACCTTTTGGGTAAACATAAACCTACCTTAGCTTAAGTGATGGGTCCTGGTTGATTAAACCAATCAGGATACATTATCACTTGGCCACTGCCATTGGTTCAAGGTTGTGTATATAACTTAAGCCAGCCAGTCAAGGTGAGTCTTGGTACTGTTTCTTCGAATACTGGATGAGACACATTATTTTTCCTGTTTCACAAGGATGAGGAAACACATGGCCTTATTAACATTAGAAGGTTTTCATGACCATGGGGTCTGGAAGTAGAAATGGGGGGAAATCAGACTTAGGATAAAGCCAATGCCTTGAAGGTAGAGTAAAGCAGTAGAAAAAAGTATGTACTTAGTGACACTTATCAGTTCACTATTTCTGAAGCCCTCCCTATAGATGAACTCTCTGTTATGGAAGTCAGTAAATCCCCTTTATTATGTAAGTCAGTTTGAGGTAAGTTTTCTTTCACTGATGGCATGAGGAGTCTTAAGAGACACAATTGTATAGAAAGTATGGCATTAGCATGATTGACCATCTATGCTTGAAATACTAAGAAACAACTTAAAAAGTGTAGACTAGCTGCCTGACTTCAGAGGGCTAGCTGGATAAGTCCACGGGGCTGGCTGATTGGTTTGTGTAATGCATAAGCATTTCTTTTTTATATATACCTTTAAGTTCTGGGGTACATGTGCAGAATGTGCAGGTTTGTTACATACGTATACTCGTGTCATGGTGGTTTGCTGCATCCATCAACCCATCATCTACATTAAGTATTTCTCTTAATGATATCCTTCCCCTATCCCCCAACCCCCTGCTATCCCTTCCCTAGACCTCCCCCCTACAGGCCCGTGTGTGATGTTCCCTTCCCTGTGTCCATATGTTTTTACCGTTCAACACCCACTTATGAGTGAGAACATGCGGTGTTTGGTTTTCTGTTCTTGTGTCGGTTTGCTGAGAATGATGGTTCCCAGCTTTATCCATGTCCCTGCAAAGGACATGAATTCATCCTTTTTATGGCTGCATAATATTCCATGGTGTGTGTGTGCCATATTTTCTTTATCCGGTCTATCATTGATAGGCATTTGGGTTGGTTCCAAGTCTTAGCTATTATGAACATACTTGCCGCAATAAACATACTTGTGCATGCGTCTTTATAATAGAATGATTAAGTGTTCCTTAGATTATCAAGACTATTTTGGAAGGGCAACTTGTAAAAGGCAATTTCTGCATTTGAAAAGAAAGAAAACACAAAAGTCAACCAGCATTCCTTTCCTCCCTCTGCCCTTCCCTCATTTCCTTCCTTCCTCCCTCCGTCCCTCCCTCCTGTTTCTTTGTTTCTTTCTTTTCTTTTCTTTTCATTCTTTCTCTCTCCTCTCCTTCCCTCCCTTCCCTTGCCTCCTTCCTTCCCTTCTTCCTTTCCTTTTCCTTCCTTCCTTCCTTCCTTCCTTCCTTCCTTCCCTCCCTCCCTCCCTCCCTCCCTCCCTCCCTCCCTTCCTTCCTTCCTGCTTCCCTCTCTCTCTTTCTCTCTCTCTCTCTTTCTCTTTCTTTCCTTTTTTCTTTTATCACTAAAAGGATCTGTTGTCTTTGAAGGCTAGAGATAGCTAAAAAAGTTAGCTCATATATTATGAGTGTTACCTTGACTATGGAGTATTTGGTACATGTAAGGGAATGAATACTATTTAAATTCATCTCATTCTCCTGATCCCTAGACCCCATTGCAGCCTCAACCACACTGGGAAACAGTGGTGTTAGTGAGAATACAGTGTCTACTGCTGCAGTTGTTCCCAAGGCAGTAACTGCTACTCATGGTCTCTTTCCTCCACTGCCCTGCCTAGGCTTCTTTTCCCTTCTCTAGCATTTCGGATGATCTGGGGGCTTGCCTGGTAGGGTAGCCTAACTCCTCATCCTGGAGGCCTCTCAGTAACTGAGGTTCTGTAGTTTTTTAAAAAGGTTCTTCTCCATTTACAGTTAAAAACTGGACATGGGGATACCAAGAAATGTCCCATGGATACACACTTTCTTCCCTGGCCCTGTTGTGCAACAATGGTTTACTTCCTCATGAGTGTGAATTTCTGTGCCTCCTGGCTTACTGTCTTGAAAACTCCAAAATTTTAGCTTTAATTTTAGCAGAATTCATACTTTGTTCCCTGCCGGCAGCCTCCCCTACTCTGAACCCCAGACTTGTAGATCATAGAGCTTGAAGCTGTGGGGACAGAAAACACAACTCATTCTCCAAATGCATCACTGGGAATGAGTATGAATGAGGATAGTGAGTATGAATTAGTATGAATGTGCTACCTAATGGGAACATAGCAGCACCACGTATGAGCCATTGCTTTAAGATGTATGATGTATACTTCGATCTAAAGGGTAGTTCCCCATCTTCACAACGTGTCATCTCCAAGCTGGTGCCTGGGCTAAAATTTCAAGAGGCTATTCTTTCAAACCAGCAGCTTCTAGATGGTATGGCGTATGGCAGGAGCAACGAATCCCATGCTCATGTGCTCACTGCCATGTTTTATTTGTTGTAAAGCAGGTCTCTTGCCTGATGTGATGTCATGTAGGAGTCCACGCTGGTAGATCAGATACTCTATGAGACCTGGAAGTAATGGCTGAGGTACCGTAGATAGAAAATGCAAATTCATAACCGCAATATGAGTCAACCCAAACCAAGTTGAAATATGGTTCATTCCAAGTTGTTACCAAATGGCTGGCTGATATATGGCAGGAATTGGACTCTAGTAGGGAGGATGGGCCACAGTCCTAGTCTCTATTGCTCATAGGTCAGCCCTCCATCAGTAGTAGGCTTGGTAAGAAAAAATCCTCGCTGTGGAGCATAGGCATAGGCTCCATCTAAGACACCGTAGATGCTCTGTACACAAGCTCATTGCTAAGTACTGGGATGTCCAAGGTTAGAGGCTAGCTGATACTTCCTGGCTGTGTCATTCTGTCAACTCACCTATTTTTTTCCACAGTGGTCTTTGCGTCTTAGTTTTGGTGGGTTTTGGCCAGCTTCTTTACTGCAACCTGTTTTATCTGCAAGGTCTTTATGACCTGTATCTTGTGCTACCTCCAGTCTTATCTTGTGACTTAGAATGCCTTAACTTGCTAGGAATGCCATCCAGCAGGTCTTAGCCTTATTTCTCCCGGCCCCTGTTCAAGATGGAGTTGCTCTGATTCAAATGCCTCTGGCACTCTGTAGCTGGTTCAATGTGTGGTAATGGCAGTAGTAAGCTTAGCTTTTGCCTACAGGGTTATTCCTCTCACCTATTCTAGATCCAGTCTACATTTTGGGGGCAACTGTCAATGTCTCCAAGAGTGAGTCTTATCTGGAGTCTAGATGCTCTGCAGTGAAAGGATCGACAGAGAACTTCAATTAGCATAACAGCAGAAGGAGTACATTTAAATTTCTAGAGGACAATTTTGACTATCATTGATATAAGATCTTTTTCTTGATGAACAGCCATCACAGGAGCTTTTAGACTGAACAAAGTCACCGTTTTCTCTGTCATAGTGTAATAATAGTTCATGTTGTATGCTTTGTGTACATTTTCTCATTTAGTCCTCACAAGACTCTTACAAGAAGCTGCTTTGCCATATTTTTAGTAGAGATGGTGGGGGAGGGGCGGGGGCAGAGCTTTTGTCATGCTGGCCAGGTGGGCCTCAAACTGCTGACCTCAGCTGATTCACTTGCTTCGGCCTCCCAAAGTTCTGAGATTAGAGGCATGAGCCACCACATCCGGCCATTTCAGGCCATTTTAAAATTCACATAAAGTGAATGACCAAGTGCCCCAGTCAAAATTCTGCCCATTAGGAGGGCTTTCCCTTCACCACTGTCCTTTAGGGCAACTTCTAAGTGAAGCTATTTAGCCCATTTTTTATTGGACTTGTATTGAAGTGCTGATTCTAGATGAGGAACTGGAGACACAAAGGAGTCATGTAGTTGGTCAAATGCCACATGACTAGCAAAGGGTGGAACTGGGCTTTAAACTTAGATATCCTGACTTCAGAGTTCAGGCCAACTCCCTCCCTTCCACCAACATACACATGCTGGCTTTTACATTACTTGGATATGAAAAATGGCATTGGAAAAGACGAGGCCAGAGTTGTCTTAACTGAAGGTGGTATTATTTTATACCACACATTTAGAGCAACCAGATATTTGAACTGCTATAAAAGTTCACTCTGACCATTGATTCATCCATTGCTCCTAGCAATTCCACAGACATTCCATTTTAGTGTTTGAATTCACAGGTAAGTTTCAGCTACACTGAGTATTATTTAAGTTACTAAAATGTAGTAAAATCTTAAATGCACTAAAATGTGTCCAGTTTCAGTCTCATCTTATGTTCTTACTGCAACCTTTTCAATAAAAAAGGTAACCTCACACCTGTAATTCCAGCACTTTGGGAGGCCGAGGCGGGTGGATCACGAGGTCAAGAGCTCGAGACCATCCTGGTCAACATGGTGAAACCCCGTCTCTACTAAAAATACAAAAAATCAGCTGGGCATGGTGGCGTGTGCCTGTAATCCCAGCTACTCAGGAGGCTGAGGCAGGAGAATTGCCTGAACCCAGGAGGCGGAGGTTGTGGTGAGCCGAGATTGCACCATTGCACTCCAGCCTGGGTAACAAGAGCGAAACTCCGACTCAAAAAAAAAAAAAAAAGCTAACTTACCTTTTAATCTGCATTTTAAATTTTAAACACAGCTGCTAAGAAAAGCATGAGGCAAAGAAAACAATTATTTTAACAAAAATTTATTTTGGATATGAATACTGCAACACCCAGGATGATGACGGTGGTAGAGTACTACATCCAAAGGAATAATTTTGGATAGCATCCACTCCAAAGAAATAGCACATACAGCTCTGTTGCCTTGCTCTGAAATAATCAGGAAAGCAGTGCTGGGAAATAATTTCTCTTTACTAT